GAAAGAGTGAGATGGATGATCTTCACACATCAGCAGAAGTTTTTAAAAGATGTAATTGGAAAAGAAAAGTTCGCAGGAAAACAGCAAGGCAGATTCCCATTTATTCACAGGCAGATGCTCAAACATCACACAGCAGATGAAAATGGCAACCGCTGCTTGAAAATTCTGAATTTTAGGATGAAAATAAACTTGATTTAGGCATTAGAAATTAAGCCTAAGTTTATTTTTAAGGCATGGAGGAGCCAATGGAAGGATTTGACAGTGGACAAAGACAGAGCATTTCAGAAACCCAGATACATAACTACATTGCTCTCTCAGAAAATAAAAGGACTTGTAATCCACTGGTTAATAACACATCCATTAAGGAAAGTCTCTCTTGCACTTCTATTCATTAGATTGTGACTTCCACAACTTCCATTTGCTATGTGTACTGACAGAAAAAGTCCATAACATAATTAAAAGATGACAGCACTCTCCTGTATCTGGGGCAAGGGACAAGCCAGAAATCTCAGGATAACAGAGACATACCAGGACACGCTCCAGAATGCAGGACAGATGCACCCAAAAGGCTGTTTACACAGTGATCTCGGGTCCAAGACGATTTATGAGCTCTGGCTTGGCAGTGACACCACCAGATAAACAGTGCCACCACATAAAGCCACCAACTGGATCTGCATTGCACAGTCCAGCGCTCCAGGACTTCTCCATGGGCACACAGCACTAAACCTGTGCTGGCTCTGTACCCCATGCAACGAGGCATCCAAACCCCTGCGCCCTCCCGGGATCTGCAGTGGCGGATCACCACGTGGCCGTACTTGGAATTAGCTGCGATCCCAGCTGGGCCTGAGCCGACCTGCGCAAGTCCATCTGGTGATGTTAACGGCGATGGGGAGAAGGAGGCAGAGCTCATTAGCATGGGCACAGCACCATGCCAAAAAAGCAGTTAAACTGCCCTGGCCCCTCAGACAGTGTGGCAGTGTCTGCATGGCTCCAGGCCGCAGCTAATAACTCTGTCAGACACGAGCTCCTGTTGCACAAAGTCAGCTCCGGTTTCTCTGCGCCTGTCTCCAGGACCGATTCACAGGGATTTGACAGCTCTTTCCTCTCTATATATACACACATAAGACTTTGCTCTTTGCAAAACCTAACAAAAGCTTGATTACAGAAAAATTACTTGATCTGATTTGAAAGAGTGGCGAATTGCTTCAGCCAGACAGTCCTTAAAAATACGCTTTCAGAAAAGCTTATTTAAGCTCATACCAGGTATATAATGAAGCACTGTTTAAGACATGGATGACTGGTATAAATCAGTGGTTGAAGGGAAGTGAAGGGCATTTACCAGCAGTATATGAAACTGAAGTTTATGAAATATGAAAAATAAAAGAATCTTAGTTATGGAGCACTATGTGAATCTGCCAGCGATGTCATGATTAGCAGCTGTTACTTCAACATAACCACTGTAAGACAAGACTGATATATGTACAACAAAGATTGGTTAAAGTGATTTGTTTTGCATTTATTCTACTTGTGATTCATTGTGGAGGGGAAAAAAGAAAAAGGAAGAAGTTATGCAGAGGTATTTTATCAGCTCCATCCCTCTTCCACATAGTGAGGCGAGAAGCCAAGCAATACTGCATCCAGAGCATACTTTGTCTTGACGCAATGCAGGAGCAAGAACTTGAGGTTCAGGTATCACTTACAACTTCATTCCAAGCAGCCTGCTGCCAATTTCCCCCCTCCCCATATTAATAAAGGATATTTCTA